TAGTGGAGACCAATAATGCTTGGGGTCTGCCAGGCTCCCTTGTGATGGCCGCATGCCATTCAGCGCAGGGTGGTCTGGCCCTCCTCCCCAACACGATTCATGCAGGCTATGGAATCGTGGCGATCCGCCTGCCAACACACAGAATACGGTTATCTCTGGTGACACGGCAGGAATACAACGAGCAAGCTCAGGAAAGGGGACAGGCAGCCCAGGGTTTAAGGTCAGCACTAGGCCCCTGCACCACTCAAGCCCTATTTTGAGGACTCAGGTGGCACTCATGTGGTGCTTAGGCCTCGTGCTTAGCCTCATCAGTGCTGGATGATGCCCCAAAGAAGTGGAGCGTCTGCCAATTACATCTCCTCCCCACTTCCTTACAAATATATTGCTGAGCCCACCCTCCCCACACAAAATCAATTCTGAACTTCCAAATAATGTCAGTGACTAAATGATTTGGGGCCCTTCCTCCCCCTGGTAAATGCATCCTGCCCTAGCCCCAATAGCTCCTGGTCTGTAATTCCAACCCCCACTGCTCTAGAAAACGAGCAGGCAAGCCCCAACCACTCCCTACCCTCTCCCTTCTTGTGGGTCCTGCACCCCTTTCAACTCCTCGCTAGCCCCTGGCCAATGCCTCTTTGAAATCACAGGCTTCCCCTGCTCATCCCTCCCCCTGCCTCAGTTCTGGGCCCCTGCTGCTCCTGAGAGTCTGGAGGTATCTCAGGGGCTAGAGGCCACCAATCTTCCCGCCCCGACCACATCCTAGGCTGCTGCATTGTAGGAGCTAGATGTTTCCAAATACTTCTCCCCTCCACCAGCCCACTGTCTGCTGAAGAGCTGGTCAGAAATTTTGTTATCCTTCTCCTCTGAAAATCTTAACTTTTGGGGGGAAAAACATAAAAAAATTAAATTAAGTATTTTGAACAAAAACAGAAAGAGTTTGGTTCTGAAATGCCACCAGAGTGCATTGTGGGAGTTATAAGTTTGGGTGCATCATTCCCCCATTCTCTTCTATAGGCCAGGCCCCTTGTTCAGACTACATTTCACATGATGCTCCATGGTCTCCCCGATTGGTGGGTGAGGAGGTGCATCGTGGGAGACATAGACCGGCTGGGGAGCCCTGTCCATAAGGAGAATGGGGACGTGAGGAAATTGAACTACAGATCCCACGGGTCACCATAGCAGAATATCTGATTTGAAGTACTTTGGCTTTGACTGAAACGTGAAAACGTGTCAGTTCTGGGGGCTGTGTGTGTATAGAAAAGAAAATTCTGTGGAAAACGGACACTTTTCATACAAAAAAAATGTGTGTAGCTGACAATCCGGTTTTCCATCGAAAAACAATTGTATGGAAAACTTTCGGCCAGCCTGAGGCTCAGCCGCTCTCCCCGTGGTGCTGCTGGAGAGAAGGGGAGAAGCACAGCATCTGTCACAAGGTTGTTTTGAAGAAGAGATGAGATTCACTTGGTGGGACTTGGAACCATTGACTCCCTCATCACTAGCCACGGCTGCCCTCTGCACAGGGGACAATCCACTGACATTAAACAGTGGGGGAAGGCTTTAATGGGATTCCCCTAAGTGACTAGTGAGAGTCTTAGGGCTGGTCTACACTTGGGGGGGGAATTGATCTAAGTTACGCAACTTCAGCTACGTGACTCACGTAGCTGAAGTCGACGTACTTAGATCGACTTACCGTGGTGTCTTCACCGCGGTGAGTCGACTTGCTGCCGCTCCCCCGTCGACTCCGCCTGTGCCTCTCACGGCGGTGGCGTACAGGAGTTGATGGGAGAGCACTTGGGGATCAATTTATCGTGTCTAGACTAGACACGGTAAATCGACCCGCGCTGGATCGATCGCTGCCCGCCGATCCGGCGGGTAGTGTAGACATACCCCTAAAGAATAAACAACAGACACAAAAACAGTGGTGGAGGGGATGGGGTTTCTTCTGCTGCATGGAGACTGAGAATATTTTAAGTAAAAAATATATTAGGAGTTGGATTATAAATTGGTGTTGGTGTGTGGCTTGGAGATAGGAGGCCTCCAGGAATCAACCTGTTAGTTCAAGGATACAATGCTGCTGTTAAGAACCCTGGCAAAGGCTGATCAGAGGCTGCAGATAAGAGTCACTCATTTACATGTTGTCTCGAGTCTTGGGGCGAGAGCCAAAGCCCATTAAAGCTGATGGGCCGCCTTTCTATTAACTTTGGATCAAGCCCACTGGGAACTGAAGAAATTTGTATTGGCTCCGCTCTGAATAGTAATCCCACACTACCAGCAGACAGTCCGCACAGCTCTTTGGAACACGGACTCCTCGAGTAAGCGCAAATGCTATTCCGCTCCTGCCCAGCAGCGGAAAGCAAAAGAAACACCTGCTCTGGTCATGGGAATGGGGGCTCGATGGGACGGGCAGGGAGTGACGTCCCTCCTCCTTGGGGATCTTGTTGGATTGGAAGAAGGAAGAGCAGGGCTGCCTGTCTCTCTATGTTGCTCATTTCTCTTCTTGGCTGCCCTGAGGAGCCTCTTCCCCTCCACCAAGATGCTCTGACTGGGCAGTTTGAGTGCTCTGCTGGGGTCACCGCTGGCTTGCCCTCTGCTCCACATGGTGGGGAATGGGGCATAAAAAGGGCGCTCCCAGCTCTTGGCACCATTTGGGCTGGTGCCAATCTTCTCCCAGCCCCATGTGCTTTGAGCTTCAGCTGATCACCAATAACATCAGGAATGGTTTTGTGCTGATTTGCCATTGCTACTGCTATGGAGGTGAGCCAGCACAGGAGTCTGGTTTGCAGGGACCATTAACAATACGTGTCACCCATTGACAGGGACTGGGCTAGGCAGTGGGGGCGTCTGTTTGCCTACTGTGGACACAATGAAGAACCCATTCGTTGGAACCTTGCTTCCTCGGACAAGAGGAGGATAGAGGGGAGGGGATGAGGTTAACAGTAGCCCAATCCCCTTTTGTGGCGAAGCATTTATAGTGCATTGGACCAGGCTGTGCTGTTACATTGTGGCTGACCTTTAACTGCATCATTTATGCCCATGTCTCATTCTCCTGCTGCGTTTGCATCAAACACACCTGTTGCCATTTGCTGCTGCCACCTGCTCCCCTCCTTTTCTCACCTCCACTGTCCTCCTCAGAAGAACCAAGTACCAAAGACTAAATCCAAACAGAATTATACGAGTACTGTGTCCAAAAAAACTGGAGAAGTAAGTTTATTGTAAACTATTAATTGCCAAGTAAAACAATCTAAATACCCTGGGTTGGATTTGCATTTGCAATAAAGCCACTTTTACACCACTATAGCAGTGTCACATAGTCTTGGTGTAAATGAGAATCGGGCCCTTTAAATCCTCAGCACTTTTTTGATGACTGCCCTGCATTTCACAATTCTTGTACTCCTGGGATGCTAGGCTCCAGCAATTCCTTTCTAAAGGAACAATGAATTCTCAATTCCTGTAAATAGCCAGAGGGAAACCCTTCCAGGGCTTTGCACGCCTTCATCTGAGTTTTTGTTTTATTAATAATTAACACAGATTATTAATCCTGAATTGTTTTAGCATATTATTCTCTTTAATGTTCTATTTAAAACCACACATTATTTCTAAAGGGAAGAGGAGAAGCTAGGTGCACTTTGGGAAGGAGTCAGGAAATGCATGGGGGTGATGTTTGGTGAGGGGGGGAGTTATGCAGTTATTTTCAGTATCTCAATTTTATTCTTGCTCGAGAGAAAGAAACATTTAGAGCAGTAGCATTCACATTTGGCCCCCATTTAGTTAAAATAGGTCAGGGTTCCGTGAGGGAAATAGGATTTGGCTCCGTGTGTCCTTCGCTGGGTTCAAGCAACATAAACCCTGTGTGTTTTAGGTAAATGGGGCCCTCTGAAATGCCCCATCTAATTTCCCTGATATTAACCAAGTCATAAGTCTGTGTCTAGTCATAAAAAGATGATGGCCATGGTCCTTATTTTACTGATACACTGGGATCTATGCTCAATTAAATCCAATGTAATTATTTGTTATGGGTGCACCTGAAAATATCATATACTACTTTTTTGGGGCGTGCTTCTTGTGGACTTATATAAAGAGAAAATCCATGCTTTGTTTTCTGAACAATTACTTTTTGTTGTTGTTACTAGGGCCTGTTACCAATACCACAAATATAACAAAAAATGAAAAGATACTGGGCCAAATAACAGAGGGGCCACTCCTAACGCTATTAGTGAAAGAGGCGCCCCCGAGCCCAGAGCAGAATTAGGCCCAACATGCTGTGTTTCTTTTTAAAACCAATTTCTTTCTAGAAACAGGTTTTGAAATCGAGTGTATCCTTTTCCACAACACATAAATACCGACTTAGAAAAAACCCCTAACAGTTCAGATCTCAAGAACTTTCAAACGAAGGACCCGGGTATGTAACAGTAATGAACACATTGGCATGTTGCGACTCCAGAATCACTCCTGAGAAGAAGTCCATTTTAATGGTATTTATCTGACCTGCACTCTTGTTTCATTACATGTTACCAACATGTTACGAACAAAAAAGACAAACACGACTTCTGTCTAACTGTAGTGTTAGTTACACATTAACAAATAAACCATTTTCTCCCAAATAGGGCATAAAACAGAAGATATGAAAAACAAAAATGAAGATTAGTTTAGTTATAAATGTGCTTATTAGGTGATTTACATGAAAGGCCAAATCATCCAAACTTTTTTCTGCCAAAAATTTGTTTTAGTTCCTTTGGAAAACAAGAAACTTTCTCTTCACTATAAATAAACCTCCATATTAGGTTGTACCTTCACTATTAAATACTTCTGCTCTACACTATATCTTAAGGGAGAAGTAAAAGATAGTATGTATGTTGAGACAGCACAAATTAACTCCTTAAGTATTATTGTAACTCCATCTCCAGTCTATAGGAGTACATATCTTAAGGAGCTATGAAAAAGAAAACAAAGATAAATATAACTCAACAGTCCTAGCAATTGATAATACATATACAATTGTTCACCTGCATCCTTTTGATTCTCTATATGAAAGAGAGAGAGCAACAAGGAGAGAAAAGAGAGAAACAAGAACAGATATGCAGGATTAATGAGCAAGTGGACCAAAATGCCCCCCAGTTATGTGTGATATATGACATTTGAAAAGAAAATAAGTTGCCCAGTGACTCCCACCACCAAGAAGCATGGTATCACCAAAAAAGACTCCTTTCACAGAGGTGAAAGAAAATGCTGCACAAATAGAAAATCAGTAAACTTAGTGAACTAAGCTCTGAGAACATACACGAGCTCACCAAGCAACAAGTTCATATGTTCCACCCAGAGCTTGGTGTAAAAGAATAAATAAAATCTAGAAAGAGAACAAGGAAAGCATTTCTGCTTGAGAGATAACAGACAGAAGACATGTAAGATCTGATGTACAGAGAAAGGACAGCTTCATATGATCTTATACACAGGATTGTTTAAAGATCTTATACACAGGAAAAGGGACGGCTTTTTCCAAATGTCCTTTATCTGACCTCTAGCTCATTGTTCCCCAGTGGAGCTGCTACCTTTCCATTGTGTACCAGTGACAAAAGCACTTTACAAATTGGGGTTACACAGAAGCAAAGTAAAAATGCATTCAGGTCACAGACATAAAGAATAACTGAAAAAACTTACAAACAATCTGAGTTTATCACAAACAAATGGCTTAATTGTCTAACCTGTTTTAGGCTGATAAAAAGTGACTGGACTTCTCACACTGGGTTTCACAGACAGAAGCAACAGACAAGCCAATGCTAAAAGACTTGAAGCAAGGAAAGTGAGTTGGTTTGGATCTGGATTTTCTTGAAGTAATGAAAACAGAAAGAGTGAAGACAGCATGGAGAGGAGGGTGGTAGGTACTCACGAATGGTTAAATCCATCACTTGAGAGGCCAAGCAGAAGACAGGATGCTCATACATTTCTCTCTTTTTCCCTATAAAAGAGGATTTGGGCATGCAAGAGGCTTAGGTCAGAGGTAAAGAGGTTATAGGTCATAGGTCAGAGGAAAACTTTACATTAGCTTAAAAGGAAAATAGCTGTAGAGTATTTTGGGATACACACAGGATAAAAGAAAAAAAGGAGATTTAAAATTGGAAATCTACTGGATTAACCATTCAGCATGCCCATGAGTCACAAAAGAGGTTGTGACCATGATTCTAAAGGTTTATTTTGAATTGTTTGCAAGAATATAATGATCAAAACATCATGAATAAAGGGAAATAGAATTCTATTGATTTAAGGCTCCAAGATACTAAGGATTTTAGCCTTCAGTATCTAAGGCTTTTACAGGTATTTCTTCATAAACATAGCCTCAAGCAGTGCTGTGACCGATATTTCCTCAGCTGTTACAAGTATTTCTTAAATGTTTGGATATTCAAATAGAAGCTTTTTAATGTCAAAATCATATTTGTATAGAGAAATGCATCACATGTAGATAATTTATTTTTTACAAACTATTTTAGCTTGTAGTGGACTATGCTCATGAGCGAAAACCTGATGCATGCAGCTGGTGGATGTTGGGTTGTTTGAATTAACAATCCCAGCATGCTTTGAAATTGGTGTCACAACCACTTTTATAGAGACAATATAGAAAAGTGGCTGTGGCCAATCACGAATAAGGAAGGAGAGAAGCAGAGGAGAGCAGGTAGTGTGGAATGAAGTATTTCTCTGAAAAGGTAGCTGGAAAAAAAAAAGTTTGTTGCTTCAAAGTATTCCCAGACCTAAAAGTCACAGTGCGAAAAAGAGGGCAGATAATTAACACAACCAAGAAGAATTGAGGCACAAAAGGAAAGTACACACTAACTGTTCTACTTTGGAAGTGAATGCATTTTTACTTACAGATCATAAAGTTTGTTTTTGCATAGATTTATCTGAAAGAAGAGAGCAAATCTTACCAACAGGTTAGTGATATTTACACAGAGACCTAGGGAAGCCAGCATTTGGTAGAAGCATCCATCAAAACAAAAGTTGCTTTTTGATTCTGAGTCCTTCTCCGTCGTCAAGTCTATTTCAACATTGCATTTTACAGAATACACCAATTAACATATCCTGTGAAGTTGAGTACTTGGATAAATTGCCTGATAATACAGTGCTTATTAAACCTTCAATCCTTCTCTATTTTTGTCACTCATTACCAAGTCAAGAGTTGATAAACATCCTTTTAGTGCCCAATTCTTAAGTGTTTCTCACTGGATGCATAACAATGAATTCATTACCACTGGTACACAATTTGCATTGTCAGACAGAAAAAATAGAAAAAGAGAGGACATATCATGTACAGAACCGAGAAAATTTGACATATAATAACCCAGGCCCTCATGTAAACAAGGGCTAGGAACAAATCGGATGGTGATTTTTTTTTCTTTCAGTAATGTCTTAGAGGTGTACAATGTGAATCTAGCTTTAGTAAAGCTTTATATTTCACACACAACGGAAGACCAAAATCCAGAGTAAAACAATTCTTTTTGAACATACAGCTTTCAGTTACAAGCACTTGTAAAGTTGTGTAGGAGTTTCAAATTGCTGTATAGCAGCCAACAAGGTAACAATGAAATCTGATTAACATGTAAAGAACTAGCTGATCATCGAGCTCCAGCAAAACACATATCCTCCAGCAAGTTTTAAAATGTCTTTTTGATGGCTACATGTGTCTCTGGTCACCAGTTATTATTCCCCCATAACTTAAAAGGTCAATAATATCAGCTATGCTGGATTTAGAGTGACAAGAATGAAATCTGATGCAAGAACGGGATCAACTGATGACTTCCACTATTCACAAAGCAAAGGCAGTGAAACACATCCCAGAAAAAGACATTTTAAGTTGGCTACAAACAATTAAGCAGAGATAAAACATTTCTTAGCTTCTTATATTTTGATTGTTCCCTGAACTCCACTGTCTCAAGTAATTAGCAGCATTATCCTTTTCAGCTACAAACATGACATCCCATGTACTTCTCATTTTTTTTAAACAAAGACACGAGAATGAATGCTGTACCAAACGCGCAGTGCTCAGAAGAAGCTATGATTCTGTTAACCATTTCATCGCTTTTTCCTAGAAAAAGAAAGATTTCGCTAACCTCTGCTCTTAATTCTTAAAAAACAAACACCACAAATACATTTCCTAGCCAATTCCATATTCCCTTTGACTTCAGTTTTATTGTCAAGCACATAAATAGTTAATTCATTGTTTTAAATAACTGCTAGCTATAGTTCCCACACAGAAACATAGTAACATTTTAACACCATAAAGTAATTGCCTTACCTTCAATTTTGGCATACTCTGATAGTCTAGTATAGTTGACTAAAGCAGCTTGCTCCAAGCATTTACGGATGACTGTTTTTACCTCCTCTTGAGGGACAGGAGTAACTATGTCTTTCATCAGAACCTGGACATAAGAAAAACTGATTTGTTGTGGCACACACATCATTGATCTTTTTTTGTTTGTTTGACAAACGCATGTGTACCCAACACTAACCCAGTGTGGCTATCTTTCTCTATGTGGCTCACCTCTAGTGGCCAGCCTACATAATAAAGTTTAAAACTCTTAGTGCACTTGATCCCTTTGATCAAGCAGCAGAAACTCACGCTTGTAGATCCAGAAGTCGTAGGTTCAGACCCCACCGGTGACCCGACCAAAGGTGTCACTGCAGAGTTAATTCATGTACTTTTTCTGCAAGCAACTACTTTATTCAGTGACATGAAGCTTTTTAGAACTGTTACTCATTCAGACAAGTTTTCAACATTACATTTAAAGGGTCTGATTGATCACCCCATTATACCAGTTTTATGCCAGTATAATTCCATTGAATCCTCGTTCCTTAGTTTGCATCATCTTGGGATACAAAACTGGTCTAACTGACTAGAGAATTAGGCCCACAATTCATAATATTTAGAATTCTCTGTACATTGCATTACAGGGTGTAATTACAACACCAAAAATGTACTCATGCCCATGAACGAGCAGATACTGTAACGTTATCTAATTCAATTTGTGTGTATATCTATGCATAAATCTAATTGCCACATAAACTCTACTGTATGATTGAATAGGAACATAGGAATTTTAACCTGCCTTTGTTATTGTGATGCTTACCCTTTCCAGTAGGGATAGAGTAGCTTTCAACGCACCTTCGGGTCGGCCAAATGGAAAGCAATACCTAGAAAAACACCCAATTTTAAAGATTAACTCAAATGCACATGGGCAAATATACCAATAAGCTTAAAAGTGATCTGATAAGAAAGACTGGGTGGCTGGGCGAGGGCTTTGTTCTCGCTTCCCTGAATTAGGCCTCTACCCGTCAAGTGGCACCATGTGGGCCCAAGAGACGGGATCAAGGCCTGAAAGAGTAATTTTGATCAGGTGCCTCAGTGGGATTGTTAGGAAATCTCAGAAATATTTTCCATGATGTGCTCCACAGCCCAGAGGATATACCCTTATGCTTCAAGCACAGGGAAAACTAAATGCTGGATGACTACTAAGGGCTGGTAGATCTGCCACTTTATGAAATCTGGCTGCCAACTGGGAGGGAGAGTGGCTACATCTACTAGGAAGGGGTTACATATCATCTCCTTGCAATAAAAGGAAAAAGGGCACTGACAAGGACAGGACCAGAAATTAGTGATCTCATCATAATCACATAGGTCATAACTAATTGGTTATGCTGACTATTTTATTTTTGAGAGTTGCAAGCTAAGAGTGGTCATGGCATTGAGTTTGCATCGAGAGTTACATCATCTCTCACCTTGAGAATTGGGGTTGACCACTGTATGAAAAGGCTAGTTTGATAGGAGGCAACTCACCTCCCTGCTTTCAGATTGGTGATATCCATTATTCCCAAAATTAAACCATCCATGAAAAAAACCCTGCCTTTCTTTGTACTAGGAAGAGATGGGAGTAGATAGCAGAATGTGTTAAGGAGAAGGGGATGGGAAAGAGGAAGAAATAAAGATCACAGGGTCTTTAATTATTTGCTTAGAACTATTTAATTGTCAAATATGAGTCCTCTCCTTCTTGCTGTGCCTATGTGGGCAAATTGAGTTGAAATACCTTTAAAAGGTTAAGCCTTCTGTTTATCAGCTATGAACATATTCATGTCTTCTGCAGCTGCAAGTTTTGGCACCCTAATGTACCAAGTTATTTTACATTGTGCATATTACTTATGCAGAATTATAATAAGCTGCAGCCTTTGAAATCTAAAAGACTCATCTTTTATGGGATGGAGTCTTGAGGAAATGCATCCTCTCTCGCTTTAAACCAGGAGTCTCTGCCTTTACCTAAAATGGGTGATCTGATTCTCCAGAAGCAAGCGAAGCCGCTCCTTGATTTCTTCAAAACGTTCTTTCTCTTCTACAGTTACAGTTCCTATTCCATCAGGCCTGAAGGAAAAATGCCATGAATGACTCAAGCTTCACCTCATGACCCTGGTAAGTCATCTGTACGGCAAACAAGATATTGCAGTTTTTGGAAATGGATGTCATCGACTATTAGATCCAGGATATAGTGCATGTGCCATGCAAAGAAACACTAATGGATAAAGCAGCGTGATTGTTTAGAAAGCATATCTCAGAATAAAATAAATACTCATTTTAAAATTACGGTATGCATGTTTTTAAATAGTGAAATCACTATATTTTTGTTTACTGCAGAAAAACCTGGAAAAATGTAGTTCTCTCTAAAAATACACACATATATGTGTATATATATATATTCACAGATACATATATAAATACTACAATGGGAATGTTCATTAAGTAAGGACTGCCTGTAAGTCCTGTTTGGCTCAATATGTTATTCATTTCTACAGAAATAATCATATTCACATTTATCAAATTTAAAATATGGTTCACAGCATAAAAGAATAGTGACGATAAACTCACGTACAAATGGAATATAAAAATACAGCACTCGTTCATGTCCACTGAATCACTTTACAACATTTTATCATGTAAAAGGAAGGAGCACACACTGAAATATATGCTCCAAGATCAATGTACATTTTGCATTTCCAAAAATAATGTCCCTTTTCAGGAATTTAAGAATTTCATAAAAGCTAACACATTCCATCAAAGCAGCTCTTCAATGAATATTTGTTACACTTTTATTATTTTGTTAATGCACAGGACTGCATTATGAATAAGGCAGCCACAAGTAGCTACCTTGGGGTATTTCCCATCTTTCACCGAGCACAGTGCGCATGCAATCATCTCTTCCATTCTTCACCTGTAATGTTGATAGATAATATGGAGAGTCCCTGTGCCTGATTGTGCTTACGTTCTGTTTTTACATCTTTGAACTCTGCTGATTTAAACTGACTCCTGATTTGCACCAATGTGTGAGCAGAAATCAGCATCCTCTGCACACATGCCCCCTTCTCCCCCTCCCCAGAGAAATACACGCCACAGCATAATCGCTGAATTGGGCTAGTCTAATCCATTCACCAAAGGAATCAGCAACCCAGACAATAAACATCACTAGTTTCTATTATTGACAGGCAAAGTATACAGATTTGTGTATTACCGTGTAGCCTATATCAGCACAGTCTCTCTTTAGGTAACGTAAGATGTCTTAAAATTGAACAAATGTTCTTCCTTAAAGGCCTCCTCCAGCGTTCAGCTTAAGCTGTGTAAATCCTTAGTACTAGACTAGTTTGGTTATACAAAAGGCTTGGCAAGGGATTACGCAGCTTCTAACGAACCTCCTGTCAGGGGTTAATTGGTTAGCTTTATTTTCCTTTTAAAGAATCAAAAGGCCCTAAACTAAAAGAAAAATTACAATCTGTACACTCATGTTTCACTGACCTCAGATACAGAAACCTCTTAATATCATAAATATTAGCTCTGCTGTTAGAATACAGGTAAAAAGTTCTCTTAACAAATCCAAACAGAGATGCTAACACAATCTTAATTGATTTTCCTTTCACTATATGTAAGTCCTAAAGCTACATTAAATAACACTTATATCCTGGACATATTAAAAGGCCCAGATGACAGTGAATATTTTTAAATTTAATCAGTGTTTCCATAAGTTCCAGTGTTTCCTATCATTTATTTGCCAAGCTCAGCTGTAAAAATTTTATTTAGGCTGAACTATGGAATATAAAATTTTAGCTGGAAAACACATTTATTAAACAATTATGGAAGAATGGATTTGGTCTCATTAGTACCGGTACATAATTAGGTCTAGTTGTTTTGAAGACGCAGGTAAGCCAGGTAAATCCAGTTAGACATTGATTTTAAAACACAGCTGCTGAACATTTTTAGTATATTTTAATCCAAAATTCCAGAAATAATTAGTATTCAAATTCAGATCTAGTTCATGCCATCAGTTACGCACGCCAGCACTGCTGTGTACATTGGGGAATCTAGTTTGCTTGCCAGTAGAGTGGCAGATTTTTCAAGATACTCCATGATAAATACTCTGTGTCATTGAAGTCCTCATTTGAGTTTTGGGCGCACATCTGCACAGATGCACAAAACCCATATATGTCATAGAGTTTCATGGAGGTCAATTGTATCAGCAACTGACAACCGATGTAGCCACAAAACATTGACTGTAAAGAGCCCAAACTAAGAACAATACGCTGATGAACTGGAAAAGTTCTGAAAATGATGTTGCCATTTGTTGGGTCAATAGCCCTCAAAGTAAAAGATTTACTGAAAAGGCCACAGAAGACTCAGGAGTTTAAATGCAGACTTATTTTCTAGGGGATAGAACATGTGTCAAGATGTTTCTCTGTTAAATAATACTAGTTTTATAAATTTTCAGCCCCTCTTTTAAGTCAAATTATTAATGTAAAATATCACTGTAAGCTGTTTAACCCAGCAAGGGACACTCTATTCAAAGTCCCAGCACATTTTCCACTGTCTTCAGTGGGATAGCGTCCAGAGTTGTACGTAGGGTTGATCCAAAGCCCACTTGAAGCCACTGAAATATTTCCACTGAGTTCAACGGGCTCTGAATCAGGCTTTAATTCTGTTTGATCTAGCTATTTTAGCACTTGCCAGGCAACACCAATTTCAGACACTTGCAATGCTTTGGCACAACTGCGTCATTACAATTTGGAGCGGCAGTCTAAATGTTCAGTGCTCTGGCAGTTTTCAGTCTAAAGCACTGATACTGTTAGGAACTCTATGTGGGCACGTGGCCGGGTCCAAACCTTGTTGGACTAGAGTTAATATATGTCCACAACTCATCTAAGTTAAGATATAATGCCCAAACGGTTTGCATTGAGACAAAAATGTAACTATCTAGCTACACGCAGACTATATATATATATATTTTCAAATATTCACCACACTTCGGTCATAATAAATAGTTAGGCCTTGCATTTTTCTTGATCTTTATCAGAAGACACAATGCCAAATTCAGCCATTTTAATACAATTAAAAAGTTACCTTATGCACCCTACGTTGTTCTACTAAACTGCATGCTAGATAAACAACAACTCACCCTTGCATATCATTCTACTACAAACTTGAGACAATCTACAGGTCAACTGTAGCCATTTTTGGAGCAGCACGGATGTCTGGAAGGGCCTGCCAACTAAGAGCCATCACAACTGCAAGGACTTCCTTTCTCAAACAGCTGTGGACTATATTACATCTGACATGATGAGCATCTCTTGAATCTACCTTTCAAATTTTCGGCAAACCATTTTCTCACTGTCCTTCACAAAGTTGACATTTTCGGCAGCATGATAGGAAAGATGTCATGTCGGCTGCTTTTCAAGTTGTTGTCACAGTGGTTAGCACCAGTTCTGTCATCTTTACTCTCCTCACAATCTCCCATCTTGAGCCATGTCACAAATAATAATACTTCCAATGGTTTTGTCAAATTTCAAATACTATAACCCAGCTGCACATCTTCAGATTTACTAGTTATGTTAATTTTTGTTGCTCATCTCCCCAGAAGCTGAAGCATTAGGAACTCATTAATTAGTGACAAATGCAAGGATACTGGTAGAACTATATAAAACACCGTCAAAAGCCCTGCACCTAATTTATTAACGTGATAATTTCTGAAACCTAATTAAAATCAAAACATTTGTCAAATATATTTGAAAACTGAATAATTTTGAAGCATATTTATTTTTCCATTTGCTAAGCAAACTAAGGGTTATATAAGCTATCCTTTCTATAATGTCACATTCACTTCTGTGTTCTAGATAATTCCCTTGTCATAACATGCACAATTGATAGTCCTTAAAGACATTCTCAAAAGAAGGTGAAATCTCATAAATTAATTTTCTTATTCATGCTGGTATTAACTCTTTTTATTTAACAAAGGTTTCCCATCAACTTTATACTGGATGTTTAATTTATATATGGAATCACAGCTTTCTGCAGCAAACAAAATTTGCACAATACATTTTAGCTAAAACACAACTGTAGAAAACTAACACACATATTCACAGTGACTATGTATGGTTTATATTGCGCTGGGGTAGACAGTAGTAGGAGTGGTAGGAGAGAAACAGTGAAAGAAGTGTTGCACCTATATTGTATTTAAATATAATTGTGTACACACACACACACACACACACACACACGCACACAGTGTCTATGTCTCTTTCTTTCTATGGATTTAGATCAACATACAACATAAATGTCTCCGATTTGAATGGTAACAGATTTTCATCTGATCCTATATTGATCCTGCCAGGAAAATTAGAGGAGTCTGGTTTAAATAGTGGGGGGAGGGCAGAAATAAAAAAACACATTTTGTATAAATTTATATTTAGTAATCCCCAACAGCACATTTTCAAAGATAACTCTTTTGATTATAGCTTTATGTTATCACCTGCAGATTTGTCAGTGCTTAATATAAATATTTCACGGGAAAAGTTTTACATGCTATTCTTCAATCTATGTATAGTTTCCTATTTTTCTTCAACTTTTTATTTTTAAAGTATGAAAACAACCAAAAAAAGCAGGTTGTGAAATTAAAAAACAAACACACACATTTTCATGTCAAACTGTAAAAAGATTTTCTTTCTTTAGTTTAGACTGTTGTGCAAATCACAGGGTTAATTATAAATTATAATTAGGACCTGTGATCCTAAGGCCAATGCTTCATTCGGTAAGCCACACCTCCCCCACCATGCCCTTTTCTAATTATACCCGGAGGCCCTCAGGGCTAGTTATGCTGCTAAAACAAATATATCAAAATCATTTTTAACAAAGACTAATATATGAAGCAATAACATGCATTTGTATGCAATTATAAATCTACAGTATAGCTCCTTTGGGTTAATCTCTTTGACATTAGCCTGTCTGAAAAACGAAGAGGCTTATAAATAAAAAAAAAATCTCTTCCACCTTTTATGCTTAACTACTTTAAGCTTTATCATTGGGGAAAATACTCCTTAGATGCAGTAACCAAATCTCTGCATGTGTTTCACACACATCAGAGATGATAAAATAAATTATGTCAAAAATTAATGCAAATAATCTGATTTTAACTAACAAAAGGGAAATCTAAGATAAGGCAGATGCTATCTTCAACTCAGTCCTTTGCAGCCAGGTGCAACACATAGCTTATATCTAGCATCACAGACTATTATGGGATTTATAGTCCAGGGCACTAATGGTACAACGGTAGCCCTACAGACAAATCCATACATCTGCAGAGTGTCCCACCAACTGCACTGGGACTCCCTTTAAAGGGCTGGCCATTAAGTTTCAACTTCATCCAATCCAATCCTTCTTGCTCCTGTGAATTTATATTATATCCTCAAGACTGTATAGTCCTTTTTTTCTGTATTTTTTCTTAAGGGGACTTTTAACATAGATATGTGGCCCAACCTTAATCAGCCACATGGGACAATAATAAAAAGACGGCCCGATTCATTGCTATAGCTTTGGCTCTTATTTCACTTCTCTTTTCTCCTAATTTCAGTCCAGGCTTTGGTGCTTTGTGGATATGCAGAGCTGAATCAAGGCTCATTCCTTCTCAAGTGCAACATGCATCCCCAAAGAACCATGCTTGGACTGCGTGGATGCTTCCCTGGCACATTTTCCTCTCCTATACCCATGGTAATGTATCATGTCAGCATGTAACACGACACTATTTAATCTGTGGATCACTGGCACAATGCATCATCTCAGCCTGTACGACAGACTGCGTTTTGAAGACATCAATAACATGTACTTTATCAATACATACCTATTATGGCTCTGGCTAATATATGCATCCAGGAAATAATAAAGAGTCTGACATTACCTGTAGTACGGTTTTGTTAACCTATGGCTCTCTGATGCAACATGTCCACTACGGATCTATTAATCAAAGAATAAATATAATCTCCAAAGAGAGCATACAGAGATGTAACGAATGTCTGGAGCTGGTTGAAAGTTTTTGAAATTTCTATGATGTTTTTTCATGAAAAATTTGTAAAAACTGTTTCCCATTTTTCAACCAGCTCTATGAAATTCTTGTTGTATGATATAAACCAAATATTAAGGAGACATAATTGAGAATGCTCTACAATGTAATGCAGATATTGAATTCCAGACGTTCCACAAACGACTTCAAAACGGTAATAGTTCTGGAGTCTGACAACGGTTGAAAATCTGCAAAGGCAACAGCTGCAGGGGATGCCAATTTTGATTTCATTTTGAAAGTGAATTTAGTGTTTCTGAAACACAGTGACTGCTGGAAGGGCAGTGCACCAATCCACCTGTGTGCAAAAATGGGGCAAATTATAGTGAGATAATTGATCGTGTGGATGTTTGATGATGGGACTGAGAAACTGGGCCGAACACCAGCTCATTTCACACAGAGCACTGACCAGCTGTCAGAGAATCACAACGTTCCCTCACCACCAACTGGGACCAGATTCAATATGAAGTCCAAGTGGTGATGGGCTCAACATCCACTAATCCAGTCCTTAACTTTTACATACACAAATCTGTAGTTACATTTTCAATACATAAGGACAAAAAAAGTACCGTATATACTCGTTCATAAGCTGAATTTTTTTTAGTAAAAAAGGGAAGTACCAGAGAAGCGGGTCGGCTTATAAACGAACCAGCTTATGATCGAGTATATACGGTATATAAAACCACAAAAGCAGCAATGTTTTTGCCCACTCTAACCAATTTGAATTTTAAAATTGTTTTTACATGGGTCAATTGGCAACAGCTGTGTTTGTAGTCAAGGAATAAAACCCTAAGTAGGGAAATCTTAAAAAGGGAGAGGTAGAATGGTCCAGTGGTTAGGGCACTAGCCTGAGATATGGGTTCACGTCCCTGATTCACCAGACAATTCCTGTGTAACTTTGTGCAAATCACAAATCTCTCTGTGCCTTTCTTATCCATCTGCAGAACAGGGTTAATGGCACTTCCTTGTCTCGTGGAGTGTTGTGAGGATAATTACATTAACGGACTGTGAGATGGTCAATATTACAGTAATGGGGCCCACATAAGTACCTAAAGCAAATAGATCCAAATGGGTGTGCCTTTACAAAATTCTACCAATTTGAATGATTTCTACCAGATTTCCATTAGAACTGGTAAAATCTTTCAACTTGGTGGAACTTTTTAAGGGCATCCACTGATGTTGCGCCCTTAAGTATAGTGAAGAAGTATCACTAATAATTTCCTTAATTGCAGTGAACTGTAATTAGTTATGGTAACTAGGGTTAGTAGGTTTTGCACAATCATGATTGGTATCTATATCTATGACACTCCCATATATCATGCATACAGATGTTTGCAGAAGGCAAAACTTGGGATAAAAAATTACAATGAACTGTCGCTTTTTTATGTTTATTTTTAAAGTATGGGTAAAATTAACAGAAAAGTTAATGGATTCAACTATGCAGATGGCAATAATTTATAGTGTCCTTTTGGAGTAGGTATTTCGAGATTTCAAAGGTCTAACAACTCATCAGCTTAAAAAAAAGTCGAGGTCAAGGAAAAACGGACTGCAGTAGTGTTTCGAAATATCACCCATATTGGTTTTTGACCATTTCACATGATATGGCAATAGGGTCACAGCAAAGCTAGAGGTGTATTTTTAACAGCAGCCGTTTTGTTCCTGTCCTGCACTGACACTGATCAGATAACAAGGCGGTATTCATGAAGCAGGACCCTGGACAGCAGCTAGTTAGTTTCTTCTCTATGATGGCCTGTCATTCTGTCAGTCCTGACCTTCAGGCTGTCCTGAACATCTGAATCACATTCTCTCTGCACTTTCTCACTGACTGCAAGCTACTGTTGTCTCACTGTCTGACCTTACACAAACACAATACAAACAGACAACCCACCTCAGCTCCATCACTGTCTATTGCTAATATAGGAGATTGATAGCCACATAGAATTCTCTCTCTATTCGACCTTCATTACTGGAGTGGCATAGTCTGACTGACAGCCAACCTCATTCCCGAGAAAGCTAAACCACCAGTTGTTTTTTTGCCCTCTAAAAGTGAATAACATCCAGTTTCTAAAGAAAGTTCAATTAATATATCCATGTTTATGACAAAAGTAATACGTTTTTGTTAAATAGCAAAGATATTGACTGTATATATCTTAATGTGTATGTTCAAATGATACTTTTCCCCAAAGAGTTGGGCGCACAAATAACGATGTAATTTATTATTATTTAGTATTTATATTACAACATTGTTCTAAGTGCTGTACAATCACAGAGCAAGATGTGATGCCTACCCCAAAGAGCTTACAAGGTAGGGCTTTGACTCTGCAATAAGCTAAGGGTCTGTCTAGGTAGAGCAGACTGCAGGCTTAAGACCTAAGAAAGCAAGCAACAAACGAAAGGTGGGAAAAGGAGACTGTCAAAGATAGACGGGCTTTATACACACAAATACACTGGTAACTGGTGATTAGGTAGCACATAAATAAGTATCAGTTTTCCCCAGCTGTGTGTCAGTCTAGCCTGGCTCTAAAACAAATCACGCACATAGCCTGAATATTCTTTCAAAAAGGAATCACAACAAGGAATCTAAGGAACTTAGATACTCTGATTTCTGTCTGAGCCATAATAATAAATTAAAGGTACAGATTTACAGATTTTTTAGGGCCAGGAGGGACCACTGTGACAATCCAGCCTGACTTTCTGCGTAATGCAGGCCAGAGAACCTCACCCAATAATTCCACTAATTTCTGCATCAAGCCCATAACTTCCATTTGAACTAGAGCACAGGGTTCAGAAAGACATCCAATCTTGACTCAAAAATGGCAAGTCCAGGAGAATGTAACATGTCCCTAGGTAAGGCACTCAGTCTTTGGTTTCTAAGTCAGACGTATGAACCCTTGGCTGCTGTAAAGTATGATCCAAAGTCCATGAAAGTAAAATGCAAAGCTCTGATTTACTTCAGTACATTTTCGATCAGGCCCTATATATCCTCAAAACAGAGTTAGGTCTCTGCAGTAATGCGTCCTGTGGATAGTGGAATTACTATTAAGGCGCAGAAAACTGCCATTAATAACCTTGTAGTGACAGGCACTCTTTTTTCACTGGTAGCCTCTCTGTTTCATTTCTGTTTTGAATACTCTATTTCTAATACACATTTGAAAAATCACAAACTCACTGGTTCCCCAAATTGCTGGATGTTCTTTTACTATCATATTATTAAATCTGCCTTTTCAAAGCTTCGGAACCAGGTAAATATTGGAAATGCAAAGTGCCCAGTGTGCTCAGTGATTGAAAAGTTCCTATAGATTACAGAATACAATTCTGTGCCGTGGTCTCTCTCTCTTACCTTTTAGGCTCTGGATTCGGCTGCGATTTGGAATCTTTCCTTTTTTTGGACTCCTTTTTGGAATCCTTTTTTGTCTCCACTTCAGTGGCAGAGGGATTAACCATTTTGCCCCCCTCGCAGTCTGCATTTGCTTGTGACCCACCAAGTAACTCTGTCATTTGTTGACTTTGGGGAATGGTTGGGATGAGTTTAAATGCACAGGGTAAAGCCAGCAACAAAAGTGAAAGAAGCAGAAGAAAGCATGAAAAAATAAATGAAAGAAAACAAACCAAACCAAATAATAAACAGCTAAAGATACAAACTTACAAAAGAAAGTCAGAACTAAAAAGAAAACAAGAAACTAAAAACTCTGTTTCCATGACAAGATGTATAAAATTAACAGTGTATCGCATGGCTGTCTCACAATATGAAATCCAGACAATGTGTATCATAATTCTGGATGATGTTTAACGGAGAGTTTACAAAAACACATAATTATTTTGTCTGTTATTCAGTAGCATATGCAGAATAGAGTGCGACATCTCAGAGTATATAATGCAACTTGGAAAAAAACCTCAATGCAAGAAGCTGCAACAGCTACTCTAGCTGTAAATAAAACAATATAGAAAAGGAAACATAGCACTGCTACACTTTTTGCCACAGTACATTTGAGAGAAGAAAACAAGCAAACTACGAACTTGAAATTGCTCTGCAACAACAATAAGATGTGGGGGGAAATTTTCAACAATGCTTAAGCAAGTTAGGAGCCAACTTTCAATTGGACGTAGGCTCCTAAGTGCCTAAATCATGTTTGAAAATGGAACTCAAGTGCTGGCGAAAACGCTACCTGTGGTAACTTGTTGGACGCTCTAATACATTAATTAAAGTCAATGTAATACATTCTTTATATCCATTTATGCACGTATGACGATGATACAGATTTCAGTTATGCACCCACATATACATTAACAAGAAGTGTATCTTGGAGTTTTCTGAGTAAAAAAGTTAAAAATTATCATTTTGGATTCTGTATGCACATTTGTATTGCTTTCATTTCAACAAGCAAAGAAACAAACAAACAAACCAATTATGCCATCAGAAGAGCTGCTGCCAAACATCCAGTATGAAAACAAGTTGGGGATTGTTGTGCATAATCCAAGGAAACCTACAAAGTCATCCCTTGCTGGCATTTAGTTGCTAGATATAAATGATTCCTTACCTGTTGCCATGAACATGTGATGCACAAAAGGCAAAGCTGTAGTGAAGCAAGGTGGGGTCAATCATAGCTCCGTTTTCTGCTCGTTCTAGTAAATCTTTGAGGTAGCAGAGATGTCTGTGACAGCCTCTGACTCCATTACGTGCACAATACTCATCTAGCACAAATACCTGGCCAGGACTGAACCAGCCCTGTTTAGAAATAAAGAGACTTGATTTTAAATAGAAGATGTTAAACACAAGAGTTATTTGATTTGGAGATGTAATGCTCTACTGTTCTTATAGACAATGCAAACCTAATGGTTGGCAAAAGACAAGGAAGTGGGCTCTATCATTCCTAACTCAAATAATACACAGGATAATTGCAATGAAAAAGCATTAGAGTAACATTTAAGATAAATGTAATTCAAAATGCTGAAAAATGTTTCAACTATTCTAGTTCATGCCAGTACTCAATATTTATCGTTAGAAGATTCGTTTATCTTTAAGGGCAGCCAAAGACTTGTATATCGAAACAGCACAAAATATTAACAACACTGTCGTGGGGGAGATGTTGTATTACGCTCTTCCCCTGGTAAGAGCAGATAATTATTCAGTAATGACTTTTATCTCTGTATCTGGCAAGTATAGGAATGAACCAAAGACACACAAACAAGGTTCTACGGTATCAGAACTGGAGGATTCACATTTCCCTCATTTCTGTGAGGAGCCACTCGGATTAGACTCTTTGGGGACAGCGAAAGTAGAACATGCAGCACCAGTCTGTGAAGTCATTAGCTAGAATAAGGCTTTTCTCACAGAACCCTTTTAAAATGCTGCAAACCCATCAATATTGACATGGAAATGTGGGTGCTAAACCATCGGTAAGATGCAGCTCTGGAATGCATCAAACTGCAAAATCTTTCCTCTTTTAATTGAAAAGTTCCTGCAGCGGGCGGGAGAGTGGTTGAGGCAGTGCACTGCCCCTGTAGGCAACTTCTTTGCCACCCCATCTGCTACCCCAAATGCTACATCTTAGAAACAACGCTGCTGTGAAAGATTAAAATATATTTTCTACCACTCAGATGACACCAAATCTTTTCTAGATGCCAAAATAGCTGCTTGGAAAAGAGTTGAAAGAAATATCAATTAAGAGCTCAGTCAAAAGACATAGAAAGGGATTTGCTCATCCTTGTTGGGCCAACTCCAAAACAGATTGAAAAAAGCATTGAAATAATGAGGGGGAAAATCATGGATATAGGAAATAGATACAGTTCATTTTATTACTGGGATCACCAGAAAATTAAGATACAGAATAATGCAGAAGAGATGCCTGTAGAAGTCCATTGTTTCAATTGGTCTTTTCTGGTCCTTGGGTCCAGGGTGAAAGTCAATTTCCTTGTCTTTCTCTGTTTCCCTTTGTTTCATGCGTTGATCTTTTATCCTCCTTCTCTCCTCCCACCCCCCGCAAAACTGAGGACTTTGTAGAAGAGGGAACCAGAAGAGAGTGTAAGAATTAACTTGAAAGGTAGATCTGTGGCTTCTGAGGCATTGTCACAGGACGACTGGGGTCAGCCCCACCTGTGGCACACTTAGCTCACCTCCCCAGGTAGAGAAAATGAGCAAAGACACATGACAGGCAGGTCAGGAGGTAAATCAGACCCCTTCAGGGGTGAAGATTAGACAGAATCCTGCAGGAGTGCCAGAGAGAGGAGGGAGACTCCAGGTAGGAAGTGCTGAGAGTCACTGCTCAAGAGAGAGCAGGGAAGGTCTCAAATGAGCCCAGGAGGGGCTGAAGAGAGAAGACAGACCCTCAGGAAGGAGAGACAGCTTGAGACTGGGCTGAAGATGTTTTGTTTTGGGCGTGGCTACCCTGGCAGGAGTGGACTTTTTCGATAATGGCATAGCCAGATGGCCATGTCACAACCGCAAACGAACTGGGCTGGAAGGTTGGGAGATCCTGAGGCAGTGGCCAGGCTCAGTAGGCGACGCTGCCACAACAGTTTACATTACCTATGATTCATGTCGTGGCGATGCAATGAATGTCCTACAATGGATCTGATCCTTTGGGGGCGGGAGAGGGGGGAGATCCAGGCCCCACTGAAGTCAGAGAAGAGACTCCAATTGAGTTCAATGGGGCCAGGATTTCACCCTTGAGTTATGGCGGGAGAAAGATGACAGGATCGGGCCCAGGGAGTTATCTAGACTTGCTTCTCTGGCTGTGGAGCCTGTGGAAGCGTCGTGAACCTTTCAGGGCCTGCAGCTACGGAGGCTGCTCTTTATTCCAGAACTGCTGCCGCTTGCTCCCTCTTTCACAGCAGAGTCCCAGACTCCTGGGCGTGACAGAAGGAAAGATGCTGAGCATTGTCGCCGGGGGCAGCCTCTTCCATGGCAGAATGACAGAAACCCTGGAAAGAGCCTTACCGGGACTCAGTGCACAGCCTTATAACACGATTCCCTAGCTGAGGACTCCAAAACCAGAGCTCAGACGGGGAGCTGAAGGGGGCCCACTTGTCGGAAAATGTCTTCGTCCCCAAATCAAAGTGGATGTGTGGCAGTCAGGAGGAGGACAAACGGGCTGCTCTTTATTCCATAACAGCCGTAGGTTGGGGAGCAGACTCCTCCAATCTGGCAACAGGAGGGAAGAACCCTTGCAGAACTGGGAGAGGAAACGCACTTACTCCCAAGCAAAGCTACATTTCTTTAAAAACAGTAGAGTCCGGGGTACAGAGGCACGTGGCAACTTTCTCCTTTGTTCCTCTTGTGGTATAGCTACAAAGCAGAGGCTGCAAAGTGGTAGTATATGCTGCTCTCTGTCCAGCCCAGTGCAGGATCCAGGATTTGTAGGAAACATTACTGAAAGGCTGGTAGCTTTTTTACATGCATTCCCCCACGCCCTCAGGCAGCTCCTGGCCCCCTACTGGGTTTTTGCCTTGTGCACCAGAGTGTACATGTCTGGGCCTCACACCTCAGGCCAGCCATGCAGTGTTCAAACTGTCAGAAGGTCTCCGAACTGTTCTTCGCTGCTGTGATGGGGTATAACGTGACGGAATGTAGCCGCGCTCTAGACCACTGAGCGTTCTAATGATACTCATCAACAACGCGAATTGCACCCAGAAGCGAATGAGAAGCCTGGACAGAAATGCTAAGGGTAGCAGGCACCACTCAGGAAATGGAAAGAGAACACTTGGCATCAGTTATAGAGACGGTGCTCAGGAATTCTCCATATGAACAGTTAACTTTATTTTTTTTTTAATGGACAATGGAGTTTCTGCAAAATTGAAACTCTCCGTGGGACTTAGATTCTGCTGAAATTTTTCTATTTTTCCATTGAGAAAACAAAAAAAAAAATATTTAGCTTCAAATAGGTTTCACATTAAACCCTATTGTGGTGAACTGCCTCATGGGAGTTGAAGTTCAGGGCCCCACTGTCTCCAATGGGCTGGGATTCCCGGTAGACTGCCTCTCCCATGATGTAACAGTCTCCATTTTGACTGAGTAGTGTGGTGCCTTGTGGGGATTTCCTGGTTGCAGGGGCATCCTGGGAGAAGTGGACCACGGAGGGAGCATGTTCCATAGGGGGAGAATGGAGGCATCCAGCTTCTGTGTAAATTTCAAGGGTACCCCTAAGTAGAAGGCAAGTGTCCAAGCTGAAGGTACCAAAGGCATGGGTACTTCTGTGAGCTCAACATTAGAGAGGAATAGCTGCAGTCTCCTGGCCAGAAGATGAAAGGCAGCTCTCCTAATTGAAAATCCAGTAGCAAGAGGACCCCATGGCCATAACCGTGTATACTCTGGTGAACGGCGGGTAGATGCACTCAATAAATGGCACGGGCAAGACTCCTGCTCCTTTTCCTTAAATGCTTCTCTCTGCCAACAAGCATCATTTCTGTCTTATCGGAGATGGGTCATAGCCAGGTTGTTTTCATACAGATACCTGTCCCAGGAGACTGCAATCTGGGTTCAGTGGAAAGGGGACAGAACTGAGTATTGTTCTCTATCTTTCTCACCACCTCCTCCAGCAGTGCCAGTCAACATTCGCACACACTGAACAACAGATGTGACAAGCGAAGAATTCTGTGGGACCCTGCACACTGAAGTCCTATGGGAGGAAGAGCCACTGCCCATCACCCTTCTGGAACCATTTGGAAAGAAAAGGGGGAAGCTACCGAAGAGCCATTCTTACAACATTGCCCAGACAAGTCAACAAAACTTTATGGCCAATGGCATCAAAAGCTGCTGAAGGTCAACACAGATTCTTTTTACGAAGTAAATCAATCTTTGAGGTAAACACAGCCTCAGTTCCACAGCCAGGTGTGAAGCCACACTGAAAGGAAGGAAAGCAACCTGTGGAATCCAAGTGTGGCCAGAAAGGGTCCATCATCACATTCCTTAAAATGGGGAGGTTTGAGACAGGATGGTAAATGGCGAGACTGAGCTGCAAAGATCCATGTGCCTTGGGGCTTATATGAGCCCCATCGCTCTAGTGGCTTCTTAAGCAAGGGCCCAAACACCTCTTTAATAATAAGAAGTGTGGCTGGCAGCTTTCCTCTTGAAGAGAGACATTAACAATCTTGTCAATAATGGCTTCTATGCTTCTCCCCCAGCTGTGAGTCTGTTTCACAAGCGACTGGTCGAAACTCTCCAAATGTTCCCAAAATCTAATTAAGTCAAACTAGTCACAAGCCAGCCAGTAAGACCTAATGGGATGGGGTTGGTCTTATTCGCAACCAGCCATGCCTGAGTAAGCAGACGCTGCATGCCGGGGTTACTGCTTGCCATTGCCCCTCACATGTGAGATAGTGGGATCCATGCTCTGTGCCTGACAAATGTCCTTTCCCCGCCTGCTCTATCAATAACCTCCCAACAGGGGGATTTCCACCAGCCCCTCCCTACCCCTTGAGCAGACCTCCTTGGCATCCTGCAAGGACCCCCAGAGATCAGCTGCACAAGAAGTGAGGGGCTGCAGAGCAGAACGCAGACCGCCTCAGACCCATAAACCCAACCTCCCAATTACTCCTTCTGAGCACTCCTAATGCTTCTCCAAGGTGAACATGGAAGCTCACCTGAAAACTTGCTCAGCCTGGTCCCTTCCTGGACTCCCACCACCAGGACCGAGCAAACATGCAGCAACTGAGGACAACAAAGAGGACCCCAGACCTTCCCATCTATTCCCTGACACATGCAGCACAACTGAAAACGCATAAGCAAACCCCCTAATGAACAGCTAGCATCAGAACAAAGTCTTGGCATTAGCAGGAGCTGTTACTGTTTCAAGGGAGCCTCTTCCTGCTGCTCCGAGTGATGACAATAATTCTACTAAAGGAGGCAGAGGACTCCTGTCCTACATGGTTGTCCTACACTGCTTGGGAGAACAGGATGAGAACTACCACTTAGAATCAACTTTCCTTCATCTCACCATCACCATCCCCTTAGTCCATTGGAGAAGATGAGTTCCTGGATGCGGTAAGATGGGTATAGGTCACTGACAAAATACAAGAGAGCCCTGGGTGTAGAGGGACTGGCTAGGTGAAAAAAATGTTTAATCCCAATGACAACCTCTGGGTGGTTTACAGGAGTATCACTTGCTTCCAATACAAGAAAGCTTCAATTTCCGAGCTTATGCCATTGGTAGAAGGTGAAGATTTTTGGCACACCAAACATTCCATGTACATAAAGAGTTAACTCTTCTGCTGAGATTTCCGTGCATTATTTGTAAAGGGAGACCCAAGTTGTACTGCTGCTTGGCATAGGAACAGACCCAGGGTGCACTCAGGTGGGATCAGGACCTAACCCCTCTAGAATGCCATCTGCATATCGGGCCTGGTCCAAAAACCACTCAGGTCTATGGAAAGGCTCCCACTGACTTCTAAGGGCTCTGGCTCTTATAGCATTTCAAACACGGTAAGTTACTGTTCATTCTAGAAATCCACTGTACAAGTCCTGTACATTAGTATTTATTTGTATTATTGTAGAAGCAAGGAACCGCAATCAAAGATCAGGGGCCCATTGGGTTGAGTGCTGACCAGCCAAATAACAAAGATGACAAGTCATATTTGGACAATCTTAATATTTTTTTTCTGTTTAATCGGTGTTATAACACACTGGACCAGATCCTGCAATCCTTTCTTATGTGAGTGATCCCGACAACAGGACTCCTGAATGAATACAGATTACAGGATCATGCCCAACATCTGGTAACTTCTCAGACAGAGCAAACTGTTAGCTGCTTGGAACCCTATTCATCAGTACATACAAATACTGGGGCACATGTATTCTGGTGTAACTCTACTGACAAGGGGGATGGGACCGTACAGATTCCTTTTTCTCCTGTACCATCATCTGTAAGGCAATGGTGCAAACTGAAAAATATCATTGCTGCTGTCTATAATATTTCCCCAGCTGTGAGTTTGTCTTTGCAGGAGATAACATTATAAAAAGTGCAAATATAAATGGTAACACAGAATCGCTACTGCAGTCGAACAACAGTAAGTTCAGGGTATATTGCCTCTTAAAAATAAATACCGCGGGGGACCAACTTCAGAGCTGGCAAAAGCAGGGACCACTCCTCAGGCAACATGGGAGCAGCCCCCACTTGCACAAGCTCTGACTTTCTTTCCTGGTGTTTATATCACTATAGACCAAAGAATATACTTGCCAGACAAGAATACGAATCATTAAGTCTGTGGTCCAAAGTGAGGCGCTGAACCATCTCAAAGAGTGAAGCGTGGTCAAAGTTACAGGGGTTGGAAGAGATAAATTCATCCATGCCATGCTTTTGAGCTCTATCTGCATCTGTTCATTTATACATATAGAGAAAGACACAATTTAGAGAAATACAGCACATTCTATTTGACATATACACGAGAGAGAAAAATATACACCATGAAGCATGAAAGCTAAATAATTCTCATCCCCTATATTGCCATTAACTTTTATTTCCCCAAAATATATTCTTCACCTCCCATTGTCAACTTGCATCACGTTTTGACTATCTTATTGCATTCAGGCCAAAGCTTTTAGAATTAACATCTTGTCAACTGCTCTTTATAGTGCATTTATTCTGTATTTAAAAACAGAACACAAACCCAATAACTTATTCTGTATCTTACAAAACACAATAAGCTAACAGATTTTTGGCTTGCAAAAGTAAATTAACTCCTATTTAGTTATTTGAGATTAATTATATAATAGATTCTGCCATTCTAGTAAAGTTATGTCTGTAGCAATTTCTCTAAATTTACTAGGTTTTCTAGATATAAAACCAGCTATAATTTTTTGCATCAAAATGCCAATATTTGTCTCCCCCAATCTCAGATTTTGTTACAACAGCTTTTAAATGCTATCTCAATGAAATAAAAAAGATGCTCATTTAAGCATTGCTGATAAGTTAAATTGAGATGTAGTTTGTTGTCACGAAGGAAGTAGCCTGATCGTGTGCAGATTGAGTTAGCCATTTCAACAGACAGACAGAATTTACTCTGCTAGGATTATGAGCTGCCATCTTTTGTGAATTAATAGCCTCAACGTCTTCACACTTCTCTGATGTGGGTGACGTCTATCGGCACAAACTCCTAGGGGCTAACTAATTAATCTCAACATATATAACTAAAATTATACTAACTTCACCAGTGGAACCAAAACAAAATATTCAGTGTAGGTGTGGCCAAGGAGAGATCCCTAGGCAGTAGCTTTGTTCTATGGAAAATGACTAAATTAAAAGACACTTTCCACTCTCTTTTTGCATTTACTCAAGTTTCCTGCTACATGGGTTCTTGCCAAATCCCTCACAAATAGAGCAGGGTTTAAATCTCACTCTGTTTACAACTCCTAGGGGAACTGTGTGGTCTTGAAACAATTACGGTGGCTGAAAGAGCACAAAACCACAGTAAATTAAAATTTCGTGTTTCTTGCTACTAATTTGGTATTTATATTTGTTTCTAAACCAAACTAACCCTTTCCAATCAGACACAAAAATATGCAACTTAAAAAAAAAATAGAAGTAAGACTTATATGGAAGCAAAGAATTATGTTAAATAGAAGATTAATTAAAGATTTAAAATTAACCTATGGAAGACGGTGTCATTTTACAAGATGTCTTGGGAATGTCTAAATCCATAGATATTCCATCTATTATAGGAGACATTGTCTACATTTTTCTTGATATTCTGTAGTTAAATATATTGATAGCGTTGCCCATTAGAATGACAACATAGATTCAAAACGTAACATTTCAATTAACTGCAAGCAATACTTAATATGGCAGGAGCTTGTAATCGTTTTGATTAGAAATCTGCTGAACAGGTACGGTGGTTTAGAACGTATGTTACAGTACTGGGGCTAACTTTTTCTATTTTGTTCAACATAAAAATTCCCATTTGCCATCTATCTGCCTAATACCTGACCCCCAACTGGTTTTTCCCTCCCTGTGACTCCATGCATCCAGCATGAAGAGTGAAACAGCAGGTCCATTTAGAGTTGATGCTGCCTACGGATTAGCTAGTGTGTGTGTGTTGGCTCCGAGGTGTGGGGCAGCCTCCCCAACATGGAGAATTAGCACATCGCCTCCATGACACATTTAGTCTCCACCAGCCTACGGCATAGGATCTAAAGTGCACCCCAACCTTGGGTCTCTCATTGTAGCGCACTATCAACACACCAATAGGCTGGTTTCTATCTATTTTGACAGATTATGCCCCATCCTTTCTGTCCCTCTGGGCCAAGATCGATTTGATTAATATGAATACACTACTAAAGGTTTTGTATCTGCTGTTTTCAATTCCACATCTAGTGCCCATAAAATAGCGTTACAATTTTAACAGAAATATCAAGGCTTTTTTTTTAGTAGACTGCTGCTCTCAAATTTCCTCGAGTAGACTGCAAGCTGACAAACTGGCTGGAGGCCTTAATTTGCCAGTTCTGCTCAGATATTTTATTACTTTTCAATTATGAGCCAGGGTGCACTGTCAATCTTGTTGTTTAGCAAAGAGGATACTTTCTTAGCCTTGAGTAACCCAACTAGAAGTTTTAAGGGCCATTTCCCCCTTTTTTTGTTGAACCTCTTTAAACTGATCTGCTAGAAAATAGGTAACTATAAATTACTGCTACTTTCTCCCTTTCACACTGACCTGGGATGCCTTTCAACTTCTGTTCACGAGAGGGACCTGGGGCAGATCCTTCGATGGTGTTAATCTCATAGTTTAACTGACTTCAATGGAGCTAAGGATCTGCTCATGGTTTTTGAGACCTCTCTGATCAAATATAAGTTTACAAGCAATCTACACCCTAGAGCAGAGGACCTATACAGGTCCCTAGGCACAGCTCACAAAGTTCAGTGGTCAGTAGGCTCTTGCCAAATTCCACTGCACTGTAGTAAATTGACCCCAAAGATAATTATACTTTAATTAGTCTTTGCAAAGCAATGCCTTACCCAGCTCCCAAGTATGTACCCACTTGAAATCCTCTCTATCCCCCCAAAGATCTGACGGGCTCAGAATGACCACATGAAGAGACAGTTACCGTAGATGGTATTTTATGAGCTTGACTGACCAAGATGTATTCCAAAGAAGGGCAATTTGCATGAGTTCTGCTCATTAAAATTATTGAAAATGTGACCATTTCTGGCACAGAAAGTAAGCTTCACGACAGCAGTCCTCATCGTGGTTCAATGCTGCAGCTCTCGTCTACACAAAACCACTCATCATGTCCAGTAGTTGTTTTACGTAGGTAGACTGCAGGATTAGGTGCGCACAAACCACCATCTTGGATTGAAATGAGGAAATTATGCTTTCAAGAGGAGGTCTTTCATGAAAATCAAATGGGATTTGAATTGGAGATGTCTTTGGAAAATGATTCTATTGCATGTTACGCACACACATATTTAACTTAAATAAAAATATTGCACTGGTCTAGCTGCTCAAAATTCTCTGGACCATTTAGGATATGTCTCAGTAGATAAAATAATTACAACCCTACACTAAGTTTGCCTTCGCTCACTGAATTATTTTACATTACAAAATAAATGCACCACTCAATCTGCAATTTGTTTTTGTATCTTGATTTTTTTAAAATTATTCCTAAAACTGAATTTTAAAAGCCAATTATACTAAAAACATTTACCTACCTAGGAAAAAGCAAAGCATAAATACATTGCCCCAGCCACCTCAGACAGGCACTCAAGATTTTAAAGTAACAACTATATCTGTATGTAAAATAATGATTTTTATATAAAACAGTCATCTTTCAAAATAAACAATTTGTACCGCTTGAACGCGCCTTTAAGCAAATTACAAAATAAAGGTAGATGGCTCAAACTCAGACCCAAATTGTACATATAATTTGTAAACACTTTTAATAAATCAGTAGTTTGGCCTTATGACTCTAATCTGTTCTTATAACAATGATAATTAAATACAAAGAAAAAGAGAGTGTTATGTGCTGTTTCTGTAATTTACAATCCCTTTCCAAGGTGCTTTGCCAAGTTAGTTGGCACTTCTTTATTCAAGGCCCCAAGACAACATTATGCTACTGGCCAAAAAAAGTTGTTTTACATCTTAGACTGTGAGTAAAGTTATATTGGCATCACAAACTCTATTAACCTTCGTTCTTGAAAACTATGCTATAGCCTTTTATGCTAAACTTTGAAATTTACATTATTGCCCTTCTTAATACATTTCTCTTATTGCAATTTCATTTTATTCTACTTGTAGCATTACAAAAAACTGGCATGTCTATCTTGTCTGCCTTAGCTATCCTTACTGTGGTTCTCTGTCAAACACATATTTTGTATATATGTTTGAAGTCATAGTCTTAAAAATCTGTCAATGTCAGTAAGACATAGATATGAAAAAAAAGGAAGAAAAAAAAATGCCCCACCACTCTGTTCTATTAGGGCAGTCCTTCTGTTATTTACGACAGTCAATTAAAAGCAACAGACAAAAAGGTCAAACATCCCTTTCTTGCTATTTGTGTTTTTGTTTTGTTTTTTTCCCCCTGGTGTCTTTTGCTACAGTAAGAATTTAGGCAGATTTTGTTAAGACTGCTGCAGTTCACAACTGGGGACAAGCTCCATAAAAGAATTCTTGTTATAAAAGGCTATGGGTAGCCATTTTATTGTAAGAATTTCCAACTCCAAATTATTTATTTTCAGTAATGAGTGACTTTGTTTGAGTACCAAGGGCAACTGAACATCCAGTAAATTTTACAACACATTTGTTTATAAAACTGTAAATTAAAAGGTGACTTTGTATCCTACTCATCTGGAAAATGTGTACTTGTCATATCTGCTTGACATTACAAGAATGAAGATGTGGTTTGGACGGTAACAAACAATGACACTAGTCAACCTCATCAGGAGACATGAAATAAAGGAATGACAATGATTGATGGCAGCTATTCATTTACAGATATTTCTAGAAGAGTCTTTATTGGCATGGTCAGACTACAACGCTAAGTTTTTCAGTAACTTAACTCTTCTTCAGCTATGCACAACAGTGGGAGAGAGGGCAAGCAGAACTGCAGGCGAACTCCCTGCTCATTGTGTTGTGCCACACAGTTGACTGCATGCTTTGAGGAACAGCTAAATTTCTTCATGGTCTCATAGATTAAGCAGAACTTACAGAGGCTCTCAGAATGACTACTTGTTAACAAAACACCAAAAGAAAGTGCCTAGGAACTGAGGTTTGCTTGAATCTGTAGAACTGAAAACACTAGCTCACGCTGCTAGTGTTCTAGTCAAATAAATAAATTAATTAAATAGGACTTAAAGCCCCATATTGTTGTTTCTTACTGAATTG